AGCAGGAATCCTCCAGAAGCTGAAGCCTCAATTAACCACAATGTTCTCTGTACCTATAGCTCCACAGGACTCTCTGCACCCTCTTTCCCACTCTCTCCCTTTTCTCCTTCTGCTGTCAGAAATGCAACTTCATTTTAAACCCACTTTCAGCTGCAGCAATTACAGCCGGTGGTGCCATGCTGTATTGATCCAGCTCTCCTGAAGAGAACGTCTACTAATTATGACCGAGGAGGAGAGTCACTTCTGAAGGACTAATTGTGCACTAAGCCGCATCTCCAATGGCAACAGGAGCTGGAAATATTCAGCACGGCTCCTGCCACAGGCCCTTGGGGAACTCCCACGAGTTAACTTTGAGCTGTCACATTCCCAGTTCAGGCAATTGAGAACGAAACTCCTCTGGAGGGGGCATCACACCCCTAATTTAGGCTCCTGCTCAGAGTCCCTCCCTGTAGCAGCTCCTCCGTTCTCTGCAGGCCTTGCCTTAGGCTGATAAGGACACTCAGGATGCTGAATGCCAAAAGGCATTTCTCTATGGGATAACAGGCAGGATTTTGCAGTAGGAAGCAGCGTGACAGGAGCAAAAGGTTCCTGGTTACAGCTCTGGGAGAAGGGCATGAGGAATTCAGTCATCCTTTCCAAATTCTTTCATCGACACTCAATTCTTGGCAAACCCTGCCACTTGCTATAATTAGAAAAAAAGCAGAACAGAGACAATGGCTGATTCACCAGCAAGGAAACAAGACTTTTCTGGGCTTTATTTGTGAGTCAGCATCAGCTAAGAGCTGGCAAGAGGGACATGGGTGAAAACATTTCCTGTAACCGACGGTAACGTCATGGGCAAACAGTGCCGTGCTCTGACTGCGGACTGCGGCTTTTGGGCCGCGATACAGCAACGCCTGTTTCCGCTCGCCAGGGCTGTGCCAGCCTCCAGATGTCCTGAAGCAGCTCCTTGAGAGCGGCAGCTGTTCAGTCAATGGGCTGCTTTGGCAGCTTTGACGTGAGCGTCACATCCAGCTGCTTGATTGAAACGCAGCCTCTGCAAAGCTCCTGCTGCCTCCTGCCATGAATGAGCTCCGGCAGCAGCCGGGGCCGCGCCAGCAGCCCACGTGCCAGCTCCGGGAAGGGCTGCCATGCTGGGCTGGGTGGCTCGGTGCCACGCCGCACCATCTCAAGTCTCACCATCGCAGCACGAACACCATCCTCCCAGCGCTCAGAAACACTGGTTTTGGCCATTCCACACCTCCTTTGAATATTCTCTCCATCAGCCTTGAAAGCATCAAAATCAAGTTTAAGTCTCTGAACAGTCCCCGTGGATACCAGAGGCTGGTACAAAACATGATGTCCTTGTTCAGTCACAACCACTCAGAGCCTCAGACTCCAACAGTTTCATCTGCGGATCTGGTGGGTGATGATTTCACACCAGAAGCCACCCAAAAGCAGGGCACTCAAATGCACTATTGGCTTATGAAAATTTGAAGCTAACACTAGGTAATGTGCAGCACCTCAGCGTGTCCATTTTCAGACAAACTGTGTGTAAAAAAAAACAGAAAGAAACTGTACTCCTTTTTAATTGCTTAATAAGAAAGGGACAAAAACAGGTGTCAAGGCAACGGAAGAGCATGTCTCGGTCCCTTTGAAAGGGGACAGTTTTCCCCCACATCAGGAATTGCCTACAACAATGCCACTAAAATAAAATGAACGGTGAAAACTCCAGGTATACAAGCAAAGCCATACATATGGATTTTAATGGAGCAAGGTCATGTAGCCCTTTGCACAAAGACAGAGCTGTGCAGGGGAGATAATGGATGGCCCGATGCAAAGCTGCCATTTCCAGCCCTGCAACCGTACAGTGACAGCTAATGAGCATTCAACTTTTTGTATTGATCATCTCCCCACGCAGAGGAGGGCTCTGTGATTACACCTCCGGAGAGCAGCATGGGAGTGGAAACCACATTAGCTCCTAATGGAAGATCTGAATTAAATCTCTATTGGTGACAAGGACGAATTTGGGCCCAGATACTTTCCTGAACTCTGGGTTCTCTTTTCTAATACATAACAGTGGTAATGTTTCCATGCATGGAGCTGGAGATCCACCTTGTGGACCAACCTCCTGATAACCACTGAAGAAGCAACTTAAGAACCATTTTCTCTCATTTTACCACGAGTTCTCCTGCTATGTTGTAGCCTCTCTAAGTACCAGAGCTAGTCTGCATCTGAGATACTACATGCAGCATCTCAGATGTGGATTAGAAGACTGAGGAGAGACCCCCAGAGCAGGTACTGGTAAATTCTGGCGTTGACTCGCTGTGCAAGTTTGGACCTCATCTCTCTGGGCTTTGGCTTCCCCATTTAAAAAGGAAAAAAACAAAACAACACAACCAGCAAAGACACAGTCCAAACAGTTACTGTTTGCAGAGTATGAGGAGTTACAAAACACCCTTTCTAGGGAACCAGACAGTGCTATTGAATGGACGGGTCAATAAGGACAAGTCACTGGGCACTAAAAGATGAAGTATCTCGAGCAACGGAGATCTGAAAACCAACGTGTTATAAAGGTCTGATTTCCTTCCCTGAATCCAGACCAACCTGAACAACTGAGAGTACTCCCTCCCCAGCCTTCAGACAGCTTGTGCCCACCCGAGCCGCACAGCCAGCTCCAACATTGGTTTGAGGAGCACGTTTTACCTTTCTTGGTGCAGTTGGTCCCCTCGGGGTCTCGGACGTAGCCATCCTCGCACTCCTCGCAGTGAAACCCCGCAGTGTGGTACAGGCAGCCAATGCACTCCCCACTGTCCGGCTTGCACACGCTGGGCGACAGCGCTGGGTCCACGTTGCCGTTGCATTTACACCTCACGCAGATGCTGTCAGAGTTGTAGTAGCCGTTGTCACACTGGTTGCAGTTCAGGCCGGTGTACCCGGTTTTGCATCTGTCGCACCTCGGGACAGTTTCACCAGGCTCTGGAGAACACAGAAAGCAAACCAGGTGTGAGCCCCTTGCAGAGAAACACCCACTGCGGGAGTTGTTCAGTGGGACCTGGCCACAAGTCACTATAACAAAAATCAGCAGCCACCGAGTATTAATCCTTCTCAAATTGAAGCTGAAAATACAACTTTTGATTTGCAGCGTTCTCTGTTTCTAGGGGAAAAAAATGCTTTGAGGGGTTTCTGGTGCCTCGCAGCAGCATCACCGCGCATGCTTGGCATGTTGCTAAGCAAACAGATCATTACTCCATCTCAAACAGCCCACTTCAGAAAACAGCTGGAACTATACTGGAGATGTCAGCAATCTGCAGGACCTTTTTGGCCTACATGAAGCCAGAGGTGGCTTCATTGCAAAACTGATTAAGAAAGTATATAAGGAAAATTTTTACTTATGTTTATTACAGCTATGACTTCTCTCGGTTACAAAATAGAGCAGGAGGATTGGGGAATCTCTGTTTGGAGTCCCATGGAGATGTTCAGAAAGGGCTCACAGAGCCACGGACAGCTACGTGGCACTGCTGGCCATCTCCCGCACCTCTCCTGGCTGCCACATGCCCAACAGTCTCTCTCTGTGAAACTCTGCAGGTTCTTCAGAGCAGGCTGCAGCCCATTGTGAGGCATTTCTGATGCCCATTGCTGTACAGTTGCTCTCACAAGAGGCAACAGAGGCACCAGGGATGCATCATGGCAAGCGCTGCCTCCAGCAAGGTGCCCCGGTTCCCACAAACAGGAGATTCACGGGCTATAAACCGCCTCGCTAGGCTGATGCACTCAGTGACAATTTAGTTGCATAGAGCTACATTCATTACGTGAGGAATTCGACCAGAACGAAAGCCTTACCTATTCGGCAGGTGCCGGTGGATGCCACGGTGGAGCAGGGGCAGCGAAGGCAGGCGTGGGGAGGATGGGTGCTTCTGTAGAAGTTCTCCTTGCAGAGCTCACAGTGGCTTCCCTCGGTGTTTTCCTGGCAGTGCAGGCAGGTGCCTGGGGAAGGGACAGGAGCACAGGCAACCGTTCAGGCAGCAGGAACTGGAGCAGAACATTTGGAGCAAGAACCCACACGGAGTGCTTTCAATTATCAGAGCTCACAGGTGATTTTGGATGCCCTCTGGCCAAAACACGACCCTGGCCTCTTATGACCTGCTGATGGTTGTCCCCCGCCTCCAGACACACACATAATGGGAAGAAGTTGGCAGCCCCAGCAGAGAGGCCCACAGCTCATCACTCTAAAAGGTCAGAGCAGGTAAAGACACACTCTCAATATTAAATAGTCCTCAAGGAAATGGGTTTTAGTTCATATTTGGGACAGTGAGATGGGATCTTTGCGCTTCAAATCCCCATTCCCACAAGGGCTCCCTCCAGGAAGGAGGACCCTTGGCACTTTTTGGTGTGCAGCCTCTCCTACAGCACAGAGCGGTGGTCGGGGTAGGGAAGTGCCACTGTCCTGCTCCGGGGACAGACGGCTCCATCCCACCAGTGTGGCTCCAGCTCCTCCATCCCCGTCACAGCCACAGGACAGCGGCAAGCACTGACCTTCAGAGGAGAACTGGGGGTTCACGGGAGCCACCTCCACTTCCTGGGGAAACCCTTGAATCAGAAAACCAACGTGCTGTGTCTTAGCAGAGCTGTGTCCTAATGACCCTTTAAATTGCTTTTTGATACTGTTGTGACCAGAGGAAGAAAAATTTCCCTTGTTATAAGAACGCAGCCTCTATCAAAAGCCCATCCATCATCAGGAACATTCTGCAGTTCTGCAGGCTCCTCGCCGAGGTGGCGGTGACCTGAGGGAAGCTGGTTTGATTAAATCTCGTGTAGAAGGCTCTGAAAAGGCAACAGCCACCTCCTAACAAACCAGGGCGGCACAGAGCAGTTTATTCACTGTATATATAAGCGCAGACAAGAGATGCACTGAGCTAATCTAGCAGTGCTGCGGGGGTATGGAAAAGTCTCATATCACCATTAACCACACAAAAAATCCTGAATTAGGTTAATGCTGACTGCTAAAAAAATACAGCAGATTTTCTTGTGAATACTGGAAGAGTTTGGCTTCCTTGCAAGCCCAACCACAGATCCTACCCTTCTCTTTCCACAGCGATGACTTTGCAGCCGAGCATCAAGTCCAGCAATTCCTTGCAGCCAACCCCTGCACCGAGGGCAGGAAGCAAACCCGGCAGCTGCCGCTTTTGGGAAGCTCCCGCTGCACCCGCACGGTGGGGCCGGCAGCGCCCCGATGACTAAGGACGCTTGCACGGCGTCAGCTCCCACACACCCTCTGCTCTTCACCCGACTGCTTGTCAGACACGAGCCCGTGGTTTTTGTGGGAGAGATGTCAGGGTTAGAGGGGGAGAATGATCTGCTGGGCTTGGTTTCTGCCGTTGAAAACCTCAATCAGCTGCTTCAGCCTGGGACAGAGCGGCTGCTCGGTGGTCACTTTGCCTGATCAGCACTAAAGGCGCCTTGGACCGTGCTCTGCAGGCGTTAATGATGGTATAAATCTGGAACCACACCTGCGTTTTCTCTACAGTCTTGGTCATTTCAGGACCAACGTCTTTCCCATCAATGGAAATTACTCACATTTATCTACACCAACCCTGCGAAATGGCTGCGTTTCCAATGAGACAGCAAGTTGCTCAGCCACGCAAAGCATGCATGGGCTCGCAATCAGGTATCGCTGTGGAAAGTCTTAATAATTAATAGCACTTCCCATCCTGATAATGCCCTCAGGAGGGATCAGGCCTCACAGCACCGCAGCTGGGCAGAGGCAACCAGACTCATTGCACAGCCACAGCACGGGGCAGGAGGGTCGTGTCGAAGGAAGCGCTGTCACTGGGGAGCTCTGGCTGCCCAATTTCCAGCCCAGTGATTTTAAATATTCCTCCTGGCCAGCACAAGGCCGTGCAGAGCTGGTCACAGAGCCGGCAGAGGGAGCCCAAAGTACAGCATTAATGAGAAAGAAACCTTGAAAATTTGACAAAGACTACACACACTTGATGTAAAACCGGGGAGGTCACACAAAGTGCAGTCTCTAGAGCAGGCTGAGTGCACTGCGTTACTGTATTAGACATGGGATCTCATTTTTAATCGACTGTTCTCTGTTCTGGGTTTGTTGGGTTCCCCCACCCCCAGCAGCAAATAAAGCAGATGGAGGAAAAGTTTTTAAAAGGGTTTTTGTCAAATCCACAATAGGTCATTAACCAAAGAGAGGGTTTGTCTGTGCAGTGCTGCAGCAGAAGCACGGCCTGAACAGCCCCATCCCACAGGCAAGCTCTGTGCTGGGGTTTCTTCAAAACCAAGAGATGGGGGAAAGACTGAGGGAGAACAGGGAAGAGCAGATTATCTTACTCCTTCACAAAACCCACACACCCAGCTCCAAATCAGTCACACAGCTGATGTGCGCACAGCTTATAACCTTCAATATTAGTAGGACACAAGCACATACGTTTCAGTATGGCAATGAATGCAGCAATTCGCCCTCAAGGAGTGCAGATCTGGTGCCTGCTGCTACCCCTGACGCTGAGCAGGATTGGGGCATTGGCTGGGCACAGCCCCTTCCTCTGCTGCAAACACACAGGCTGCGGGGAGCAGGCACCAGTGCAGAAATTGCCCAGAAATACCATTTTGGATGAGCTCTGCTTCTGTGCCAGCCTTGCAAAAAACCCTGCGAGATATTTTTAACTATTGCTCCTTTCTAAGCTCCTCAAGAAACATGACATAATTGCATTTCAGCCTGGAAGTTTTGAAGATAATTTGGATTTTGCAGTGTGAGTTGTGTTGCTAAAGCGAGGACTGTGCAGGCAGTCCCATAACGTTGCTCCTCTGGGATCTCTCCTTTCAGTGGGGAGGGAAAAGCCGTTCAGTTCCCCCTGCCCTCCCATAACCTATTCAAGCACAGGTGCTTCACCATTTGCCCTGCATCAACATCTGCGTAAGTGAGAGACAGTCACAGAAATCATCAAGGAAAATGAACAAGGCAAATTTATAAAAAGTGGGCAACGTTTATTAGGTGCTGCCAGTTTTTTCCAGCATTAATCACGTAATCTGTGGCAATAACAGTCACCTTACGTCAGTGCCAGCACAGTATATGTTTCCAGGTAAACAGCAGTTAAACAAAAGCTCCTTAAAAGCCGGTGTTGTGTATTTGTGTAAGTGCAGAGAACAATAGAGCACTGATTTCCGATAGAGACTGCAGAACAAAGGCTCTGCACTGCAGCCTGGGGTAAATAACGCAGCCTTTATTGACTACCTGGGAAGAGAAGTAGCTCCAACCTTGCCCTGCATTTTCATTTCAGTTTTAAGGTGAAGATTCGAGGGACCCAAGGCATAAAGATGCAGATGAAAGGGTGAGAGCAGAGGACTGCTGAATAAAAACGGGATAAACCAGAGACTGAGGAGACAGGCGAAGCTTGCACCCGCCACGGTGACAAGAGCAAAGGCTGTCGTTACCTGTTAAGCTGTTGCAGGTTTTGGAGTGGTTGTTGCACTGGCACGGCTCGCAGGCGGTTTCGTTAAACCTGTAGTACCCATCACTGCACTGGTCGCACTTCAGGCCCGTGACACCAACTTTACACTGGCATTCCCCCGAGCTGCACAGAGAAAAACAAACAGAGAAATCTGCATGTGCTGGAGGCATCCAAAGTACAAACCACGGGCAGGGTTTTGGACTCCCAGAGTAGGGCAATGCCTGCTGGAAGCAGGACGTGAAACCCACGGGAAACAATTTCCACAAAGTGATGCGGAGTTCAGGAAGGGTCTCTGCAAAACCAGTTGCCCTGACAGCAACTGCCAGCTGGGCACCAGAAATCATCGCTCGTTCTGGAAAGCCTTGGCCCAGAGCCATCCCCGTGCACCAGGCCCCAGTGATGCTCCAACAGCCCCAGTCTGGTCCCAGCTCCATCCAGCACCTGCTCAAGCCCTGGGTCCCGCAGGACAAGGACCCCCACGATCACTGCCTCTGAATGATAAAAGAGCACCCCCGTGGATAATCCCCTCCCCTCTGCATGGGTGCCAAGTGGCACCTCCTGGATTTTCGGGTGAGTGGACAATTCCCCGCTCACCACCTGCTTTCCCAGCTCCTCCGGGAGCCGGCGCAGCAGCTCAGGTGTCGCGCTCGGGATTCAGCCTGGGCAGGCGCCAGCCACCAGCACCCCCTGCGCTTCCCATGATCCTCTTTATCCCTTCCACACAACTTCCCCACGGCCACTCGGACAAAACCCTCTCTCCAGTCACCTCCTCCTACCCTTTTTTCATCCCTGGGGAAGGGTTTTCCCTTTCCCAGCAGTCCCCACCACAGCTCAGCCCAGGCAGAAGCCTGTTTACTTGGGCACCAAGGCTGACAGTGCCAAGGGTGGAGCTCTGCACAGTCAAAATAGAGGGTATGGTGGTAGCTGGCATGAGCAAATACCAGGAGGCTATAAAAAGCAAAGGTTATCCTCATTCCTTTGGCTTTCCATGCCACAGAGAGACTCCAAACCTATGGCTTTCATAAGTGACTTTACACACTGGCAGCATTTGGGCTCGGCTCTCGGAGCAATCACAGCAGTGGATAAAATGCTGTTCCCCATCCACCCCCTGGCGTAGCAACTGCCATTTACACTCATCCCACCTGCACACGTGGGAACCAGGGATGAGAGCATGCAGAAAGGCCTCTCTGTATCTCCAATAGACCTGGGGACACCCACAGGAACCCTCAGCCCCTGCACAGGGACACCAGGACAGCCACCCAAATTAACATGATGGTCTCCTCCAGGACATGGATTTATTCAGAGCTGCAGTGGACAAGGCAGGTACCATCCACACCACTGGATAAGCCCTCCTCTGAGCTCTACCCCTATAGAGCCTCACCCTATTGATGCACTTTATTAATTCAGTACTTGAGGGTCTGGTGTGCCTGCGTGAAGATGATCCATTGTCTGCCCTCGCTCCTCCTGGGGAAGAGCGAGCAATGCACAGTTTGCTCCTAAAAGCCCCTGGAAAAATCTGTTGATTAAAACTAATAGAGGCTGAAGCTCCAAAAGGGCTGATGCACCGTAGATGTGCTGGTTTTAATTAAAATGCAGTCGATTGCAATGTTTTTGAGAAGACATCGCTTCTGTCAGAAATTAACATAATTCAGTATTCCTGGTCGTTTGCTTGCCAAAGGAAGAGGAGATACTCAAAGGCACACGAGAACACGGAGCTCAGCCCAAGTGGCTACACAACTCACTAGTTTCAGAATATGAAATTTCAGGAATATTTAATGGGCTGATGAGAAGGAGGAGAAAGAAATACGATGTCTCCTTGCTCTGCAGACCGTTATCTGGAATTGCAGCAGGCAGATGCAGCATTCAAAGGATGCTGTTAAGCAGCTCAGCACGTTTAACTTTTAAAGAGCTTTTCACAAGACCTAACATTAATCCAAACGTTGTCACAGCTTCAGAACAAGAGAAAACAAAACCCAGATTGTTTTTATTTGCTGACTGCTACTGGGCAGATATCCCCATAAGCGGGCAGGGCATGGTCAGAGCCAAGCAGGGAAAAAGCAACTCATTTGGGAGGGATCTGATATTTACCCCGAAAACCCATCTGCTGGGGGTGTGCCCTATGAATAGGGCTTCACAGGACCAAGCTTTGGAGCTGCATCATCTTCACCCTGGAGTCCAGGGGGCTCTGTTTTACCCTTTCCTGTCCGAGCTTTTCTCTTAACACCACCCTCCTCTTCCTCCTGCCTGGCACCTCTCCATCCACACTCCCAATTCACTTCTTGAAAGAAGGGTTTTTTCCCCCCATAGTGACTCTGCTATAGCTCAATGCAGCATTTTGGGGCAGCGTCCCTTGATTTTACTTGTTAGCGTTAAAATAACAGGAAATCCAGCTATTTTTTTTAAAAAAAAGACCATTTTGGAAAGTTTGGGTTGAATGCCTCTCAAGCAGACCTTTTCTCAACATGTTACACATGGCACAGAGCCAGGTTCTGCATGTGCAAGAATTAAATCACTCAGCAAATATAAAGCTTTGCCTGTGGTCATTGCCTCCATAGAATAAAGCCCCCTTACAACACTCCTTTTCATAGCTCCAGCCCAGTAAAGACTGTCAGACACTTTTTAAAGCAAAGGTCAATGATATAAATGCATTGCAACCACACACACAAAAAAAAAAGTCCTGTTAACAGACCGATTGTGCCCATAAAAATCCAGAAACTTGAAAGAAAAGACCCACAGTTTAATACTTGCACAGCGAGAACTGAGCTGGATTTTGTGTATCAGCCAGGAATTTCTTTTTTGGGGGAAGCTGGGGGGGAAGGAGGGGGAAGGGAGGAGGGAAACATTTTGATGGAGCAACATCAATTGCTCAGCTCCATTTCAGATGATTATGAACTCCATTGAAACCAGCCAATTTTCAGCTCTCACAAAAGAGCTGATGGAAGGACGTGTTGGGACAAAACCAGACTTCCAGTAACTCAACTCTCCTGCCAGCCTTGCTTTCTACTAGGTTTTTATGAATATACTTACTTTAAAGACCGTGTAGGTAGTGCACATCACCACCACATCATCCATCAACTTCACATACGTTTCCTAATGATTAAAACCATCGCCAGCACCAGCGCGCCTGGCAGACGGCGCGGGCAGCGCTTCGCCGGCCGGCGGGGACAGGGGCAGACCACGTGTGAGGCTCAGATCCAGCGCCGAGTGATCCGACCCTCGGGGGGTGAGGGCAGCACGCCAGGTTTGGGACCCCCCGCGGCAGGAGCTTGTGCGTGGCCTCGTCTGGCAGCTCCCAGCCCTCGGGCTCCGTGTTCTGCCTCAGGAGCTGCTGTCTGGACGCCTGCAGGGTAACAGCCTGGGGCTGGATGGCATCATGGGGCAGGATGCAGCCACCCAGGGCAGCAGCAGGCACTGGGGAGGGGACTGTAAGTAAAAGCGAAAAGATTGGGCAAGGGGAACAGCCTACACCCCAAAATACGTCCGTAAAATCCAGCCTGATTCACTGCCACAGCCTCCTTCTACTCCACCCAAGGGGGGCAGCCACAGGACGTGGGAAATCCCATCACCCCCCAGGTGATTCCTGGCACCAGTGGCAACAAAACGCTCCCCACGGTGGGATTTTACAGCGACAGCAGCTTTACAGCTACAAAAGTTAAGGGGGTACAATAGAGACCCCCGCTCTGTGCACTACTGTGGCTACTTCTAAAGATGACAACTGCAGATAGGTTTGACCCCGCTTGGAAGTGTCCTCGGAGCAGAGCAGAGAGAAGAGGTAACAGCCCCAAAAGCCCCTCTTGTGCCCAGCCTGAAGCTGCAGAGCACCCTGCAGGAAATCTGGTGGCCAGGGAAGGACACACAGACGGGACGGCTGCTCCTGGGAGCTCCAGCACTGCCCTAACCCTGCCCCATGCAGCACAGGACAGCCCGTGAACAGGGCCTCATCGCAAGGAAGAAAAAAAGCATTACAATATCTGTGATCCCAGAGAGACTGCAGTGTGCGGCTGCATCTGCAATGGGTCTCAGTCCTCCTCTGCAGAAACATCCTGAAGTTAGCGGGGATGCGACAGACACAAGATGGATGGGAAGACGAAGGACCATGGCCTCAAGGGCCGTGCAGAGGCACGCTGTGCAGAGTTTAATGGTGTAACAGAAAACCCTTAGCAAGCTCTAACCATTTATTTTCTTTTTTTTTTTCTCCAAGGAGGAGGAAAGGGAAAAATTCATTTTGAATGTTTTCCCAGCTGCCTTTGACAGCCCAGGGGCTGCCTGACCAGGTCCGAGCCAGCCAAATGGTACAGCACCGAGTTTTGTGTCCTTACTTTTAAAAGATGTAAGATGCTGGGGCAGAGCCAGAGGAGGAGGGAGCTCCTTTGGGTCTCAACCCAGGGCATACCTTGCGGATGAGCCACACAAAACCCCCCACAGCTTTGAAGAGCTTTCCCCAGTACATTTGCAGTTCACCTTGAAGCACAGAGCACGCACACAGCCCTCACACCACAGCATCGCCCAGGACCACGTCACTAGCCAGGACCATCCCCAGAGAGCCGGCGAGGGGCTATGCTGCCTGGAGAAAGAGGAAAGCGAGAGCTCCAGCCCGTCCTTCCCTGACCCGGCAGCATCTCCAGCCTCCCCATCCCCACCTTCTAATCCTCTGGTTCCCACTATGCCCATCATTCATCCCAGCAGGGCCCAGAGGTGTTCTTGTAACATAGACAATTAATAGCAACGACAGCGCTGCGTCTGAATGGGGAAAAACACAGTGCTGAACTACGAGCATCTGTAAAACAACCCTCATGAAAAGGCTTTGTCGCCCTTTGATGGAATAAGACAAAAGGATGCTGCACAAGATTCGGAGGATTCAGAAGAGATGTCGCTAAAAATGGAGCGTTTCTCCAGCGAGCCCGGCTCCTTTTGTGCTGATTTTCTGTGATGTTTGACAGCAGCCAGGGAATAAATCCTACATTTGTCTGGGAAACGTAGAAAAGTTAACATTTGAAAGCTAAACGTTCCCTAAGTGTTCCTAGACACCTCCATGGAAAACCAACACTGTTAACACTCCCCTGGAGCAAACCGAGAACCCTCATAACCCACGTGTGGGTTTTCCTGTAGGTCAATGAACTTGAACACCAGCACGTGGGGCAGCGAAGAGCAGGAAAAGGCCCCGCGTAGCTCACAGGTGAGGTTTCACCTCCCCGCTCCCTCGGCTCCAACCAAAGCCACCGGCTTTGGTGGAAGGGTTGGTGCGTCCACAGCCGAGCCCCTCGCCCGCCACCCGGCTCAGAGCCGCCTTTGTGGAGGGCAGAAGAAGCGGAGCTTTATTGCGGTGAACATTGGGCCATTGTGCGCCGCATTCCTCGCTTTGTGCCGGGGGACGGCATCTGTTTATATGGCAGCCCTCGACGGAGCGGGGACTCTTCACAGCTCTGAAAGGCCATTCTGTAAATGTCAAAGGGCCACCTTGTCTGGCCACGCCGCCCCCACGGCCCCGTCTGCCCTGCCGAGGATGCCCTGCGTTGCTGGGAAAGCCGGGGATCTCCAGCCTGGAGCGGTGCCGTCTGCTCCGGGTGCCCTTCCGCCACCTCCCATGGGGACCTTGGCGGTGGGGAGGGCGGAAGCAATGGGAAGACCATGACGACCCCAGAGAGCGAGGTTGGATGGGGTCCTCTACGGTTTGGCACAGGGAACAGCAGCAAAAGCCCAAGTAACTGCAAAATCTTAACCCCCAGTGGTGCTCCCAGAGCATCCCTTGGAGATCACAGCAACATGGGGATGGGACAGGCAACCTCGATGTAGAAGAGGACACATCAACTGGGAAAGGGGCTGGTCCATGCTGAATGCACCGGTTTTGCCCAGCATGGTCCCTCCATGTCCCAGATCTCTACTGGTGCCTCCTCACAGGCAGCAGAAAAAGCCACAGGCGACGAGCACGGCCTGGAGCCAGGCTGGGCACCACCTCCCCAAACCAGAATTCAACCACAGCAACTTAAAAAGTTGAGTCAATATTTTTGGTTTTGTGAGCAGGCAATGTTTACCAGAGCAGCAAGTCTGCATCAGACAGCACCAGGATGGCGAAGCCTGCTGGAAAAATCAACACAATCGGAGGATTTCTGAGAAGCCACAATTACTGCAGGCGAGCTGGTAACAATTTGCCTTTCACTGCCACTGGTCCAGTCCCTCACCCATTTCCCACCCCTGCGTGCAACCACATAAAAATGGGTGCAGGTACAATATTTACCTGCTTGTGGGGGAAAAGAGGAGGAGAACAAATAGGTTGTAAAGGAAATAAGAGTCTGTAATAGGAGAGAGATTTAGATAATTAAAGCACACAGGAAAAATATGCTCTAACTGGGTATTCTTCTGCTTTTATGATGTCCACATGTCACAATTTCCGCTACCAAAAAAATCTGTTCTCTGCAGAACGATGCTGACAAGGCACTACTGGGAGATAATGAGCACCGGTTGTGCTCAGCCGATCTATATCAACGGAGAGCAGGCTTTTCAAAAGAGGGGGGAAAGGGTTTTTTCCAGTTTTGTTAAAAATTAAGTCCTTGAGGAGTTGGGCTCCCAGGGTCTTCTCCCCAAAGGGCAGCAGTGACCAGTGTGGTTTATTGGACTGCTAAAATTCAGTAGAATGGCAACAGTTCCCACGCAGAAGGAGACATTTCAGAAGTGTGATGACAGTCTAGAGGCAGAAAATGAAGATTTTCTCCATGCAAAATGAGAACTCCACCGCCTTCCCCCAAATAACCTCCTGCGGTGGGATGGGCAGAAGCTCTGGAAACACGAGCTCTCTCATCTCAAACCATCACCAGGCACACTCTGCCTGCCCAGGCTGGTGAAGCTCCACAAAAGCCCCGATTTTCAACGGATTTGTGTTTTCTGATGAACATATCCTGCCCCAGGCAGCTTCACAGCCCATGATGCTCAAGGTGCTCCTAGCGTGTGACCCACGCGGGTGCTCGCCAACGCCACCAGGACCAATGTTCCTTATCGCTTTCCCCCTCCATGGTCTCTGCATCTTTTCCCATCCCACCACCTCTGCAAGCGCAGCGTGCAGCTCTCCCTGCCCAGCTCCTTCAGAAACCCCAGCCCTTATTCAAAGGCCTCAACAAAGAACGTTGTCCTGTGCTGCTGACCTTGCTCTCACCAGCAACGCGCTCACAAATCCGTGCGAGTAAGGGTCACAGGATCAGCCTCTGCAAAGAGAAGCCCGCTACAAAGACGGCACACAGGGATGGAGCCTGCCCAGCAAACAGCACCCCCGGTCAGCCCCACAGCTCCAGGGCACGGCGTCTGTAAATGCCCCCAGGGACGCTCTGCTGTAATTTTTAATGCGAACACAAAGCGTGAGATCCCCTTGAGGGGGTAAAACAGCTCTGAATTAACACTTCAGTATTCACAGGCATGCTTTATCTCTTTTTTTAAACAGAAATGAGTGACAGAGCTCTCTAATGTGACTTATGCTGAGCCCGCGGCAGGAGCCATGATCCCAGCCCCCAGAGCTGTCCCCAGCCGCCAGTGAGGAAAGACTCCTCGGTTTGCGAAGGAGCAGAGCTGCACACCTGCAGTGTTTCAGGACAGGACATGACCCAAAGCCAGCGTCACCTCCAAGCAGTGCAGCAGGTCCCATTGCCCTTCTGGGTGTGGGGAAACTGAGGCACAGGCAGAGGGAGCAATTTAAACTGAGTCCTAATTTAACATGCACCTCTTCTCATGAGGGACAATGATAGCGTTATGTGTGTTTAGTTTACAGCTGTTTTTTAATAGGAAACTGAGAAAACCTAACCCAGCTTAGATGGTTAACCCAGGTTTAGCTAAACCACGTGGCAACCCTTAAACACCCACAGCAGCCACAGCTCTCCCCTTGTTCACTAGCACAGGTAATGGTGCATCAGGAGCTGCATCACCCCCTGCCTTCCCTGGGACCAAAATGAGGGAGTTTAACACACAAACAGCCTCCCAGGGAATTCGGGAATTGAGGGCTGGACCCTTCTGCCGGGCAGCGGTGTCTCATAGCATCTGCTCTGCTTCACAGCCCTTCTTCTCCACTCCCATCCCAAACCACGGGGGGACACTTGCTCATGGGCTGAACACGCTGTCCCTGCAGCTGTGGGGCCATGCTCTGGAGAAAAGCCACAAAGGCCTGCATGCAGGGTAAAAAAACCCTCAAATTAATGTCTTGAACGAGGTAAATCAAGGTAACACCACCTCTCCCTCCTGCGCTGGGGTGCAGGAGAGCCCTGCACCAGCACACGGCAGATGAGGTGTCGGGGTTCAGACCACTGGGATGCACTGGGCTGCCCTTGGCAAGTCTTTACCCCTGTCGGCAGCTCAGTGTGGGGTTGGCTGCTAGCAAGGTAAAAATAAATAGATTTCAAAATGCAGAGTCATTTGAAATCTCCTGCTCACCAGCAGGGTACCACATGGTGCCTCTTTCAAGCTGGGCTCCGTGCAGTCCTGCTCCTTTAAATAAATCAGCCAGAGGACAGGTTTACACAGGAGAATTATTTCCGCATGCGTTTAAATACCTGCGCCTGTATTGCTGGTCGCTGCTTTGCAGCAGGGAAAGGCTTCCCCCGTCCCAAACCCTTTCCTCTTGCCTGGGCAGAGCCACACCACGTCCTGGGGCAGCAGCCGCTGTGCCAGCTCCCCCTGCCACCGCTCAGCTGGGGACACGAGGGGCATTTTGGGCAAAGCTGCACCACAGGACGCAGAGGGCAGGGGTGTGCTGGGCACTGCATAAACACTGCAAGGAGCCACAGGGCTCCCACTGCTGCCCCAGATGGTTGGGGAGAAGGCAAAGGTGACGACCTTTTCATTTTCCACCAG